CTGCTACTTGTTAGAGACCTGTGTCAAGGTACTTATCTTCTCTAATCCTTAGTTTCTTCATATGTGAAATGGGACTAACAGTAGTTCCTGTCTAATAGCAGTGTGGTGAGGATTAAATCATTCATGTAAGGTGCCTGAAACATATTCAGTGGCCAGCAAAGTTACTTGTTACCAGTAATAGCAGCAGCAGCATGAGGAGTATGGGCCAGATAATGTGCTGGGTGCTAGGCATTTAACAAAGAACAAAAGAGACAAAAGGCCCCATCCCAGAGCAAACAGGTAAGGTTAGAGGATAAGTAGAACAGGCAAGCAAGATATTAACTTCTAGGATAAGAAAAAAATGTAGGGTTTTATGGAAACATGTAATACTGACAAGGAGAGGAAAGTCAGGGAGTTCCCAAAAGATTTCTTGGAAGAAGAAATTATCACAACCTTTTAAATCGTTTACTTATTTATTTATTTGGTGGTGTGGTTTTCTGAGATGGAGTCGCACTCTGTCACCCAGGCTGGAGTGCAGTGGTGCCACCTTGGCTGACTGCAACCTCCTCTTCCCGGGATCAAGTGATTCTCCCGCCTCAGCCTCCTGAGTAGCTGGGATTACAGGCATGTACCACCACACCCAGCTAATTTTTGTATTTTTTTGTAGACAGGGTTTCGTAATGTTGGCCAGGCTGGTCTCAAACTCCTGATCTCAGGTGATCCACCCACCTTTGCCTCCTAAAGTGCTAAGATTACAGGTGTGAGCCACCACGCCCAGCCTGAACATTTTATTATTTGCCATGAATTTTTAGGTTCTGCTACTAGACCATAAGTTCTTTGAGAGCAGGAATAGGGTTTGCTGTGTTTGGCATTCCACAGCAACATAGTGTGGTGCCTGACACACAAGGCATTCAAATATCTGATAGGTGAATGAGTAAGTCAATGAAAGGATTCCTAGGGTAATACATAGGTTTGCCAGATGAGGATGACAAGGTGTTCTAGCCAGAGGAAACTGCACCAAGACACTGAAGTGAGCAAAAGCATGGTGAGTGGGGGTGTTACCAAACCAAACTGGGGTCTACCCGCCCAGCACAGATAGCCACATCAAGGTTCGCAGCAGCAGAAAGGAAAGCATTTATTTGCAGGGCACCAAGAAAGATCAGGCAGCTAACACTTAAATCGCAATTTCCTAGATGGCTTACAGGTAAGGATTTTTAAAGGCAGAAAGCCAAAGGTTATAGGCAAACTCAGAAATCAGTACAGAGAGACCATACACTGGTTTGACCTAAAAAGGCAAGGCATCTCGAAGTGGGGGTGGATTTAAAGATTTTCAAATGTGCGATTGGGTAAGGAGATGGAGCTTTGTCTAAAAATTTGATATCTACAGGAAGAAAAAAAGTTATCTCAGCCGGGCATGGTGGCTAACACCTGTAATCCCAGCACTTTGGGAGGGTGAGGCTGGTGGATCACAAGGTCAGGAGTTCAAGATCAGCCTGACCAACATGGTGAAACCCCGTATCTACTAAAAATTCAAAAATTAACGGGCCGTGATGGCACAGGCTTGTCGTCCCAGCTACTCGGGAGGCTGAGACAGGAGAATCACTTGAACCCAGGAGGTGGAGGTTGCAGTGAACCAAGATTGTGCCACTGCACTCCAGCCTGGGCGACAGAGTGAGATTCTGTCTCAAAAAAACAAACAACAACAAAAAAGTAATCTCTGACTCATGGGCATGACCTCCTCCAAGATCCTCAGGAAGAAATTTAGAACAAAGAACGGTGATCAGAGTTCAATCCTCAGCTCCCCCTTACCTAAGGTCTATGTACCAGTGCATCCATTTGCTAGGGGTTCAGGTTTCTGGAAAACAACTCAAGGATATATATTAAGGTGTTATCTATAGATTCTATGGGGAAACCAAACATCTCATGATTCTAACTTCCTTGGCTATTGTTTTAAGCCACTCTCTTGCTTGTCACATTTCTCTTTTACTTCTCAGGGCTAGCCAGATGCCTGGAATTTCTCTTGGAAAAACTCAAGATTCTATTTCCATGTTTGGGTGTAGGGGACAGGCCCCTAAGAGGGGTCTCTGACTCCTCTCTCATCTCAGGAGAGATGTGGATATGGATGCCATGAGACAAAGCTGAAAAGGTGGCCGGGAACAAATCAAGTTGGGTCTCATAAGTTGAAATGAAGGGGTCAAGGATTTTAATTAGATGAAGCATATAACCAGTGTGTATGTTTTAAAGTTCACTCTTTATTCTGTTAATACACTAACAATTCAAATTAATTTTAAGAAAAATAGAAACTACAGATAGGCATAATTTTTGAAAAAATCGGCTGTAATCTCACCAGAGATAATTGCCATTTGACCGTAAATAACAAGCCATCTGTCTCGCAACCCTCCCCCAAAACCTAGTGGCTTAAAACAATAATTTGTTATTTCTCATGAGTCTGTGGGTTGAATGGGATAAACTGAGTGGTACCTCTATTTTCTGTGGTGTAGCTGAGGATACACCCACATTTGGCTGGGAGCTTAACTAAGGCTGGAACATCCAAGATAATCTCTCATCCTCAAGAGTCTCTCTCCCCATGGCCTCTCATCTTTCAGTAATCCCCCTGAGCTTCTTTGCAGCATGGTGGCTGGCTTTCAAGAAGAATAAAAGGAAAGCTGGCAGTCTCTTAAAGCCTAGGCTTGGACATATACTGAATATCTCCTGCTGCACTTCAGTAGGCAAAGCCATTCACAAGGCCAGCCAAAACTCAAGAGAAATAGACTCCACTTGTTGATGGGAAGAGCAGCATGTAGGCACAGGGATGGGAAGACTTACTGGCCACCATACTGGGAAATTACCACACAATTTGATTTGCTAAACACAAATAAGTTGTTGACCATTTCTGGTAATAAATAATGAGGAAAACTGAATTCCAGTAACAAATGCAAAGTATCTTGTCCTTGTCCATATATGAATCTAAGTGGGTTGTTTAAATAAGCCGACAATTTGCATGTGTGATGAGGGAGGTGGGAGGTAACGGGAACATCATATTGGAACCTAGTGTTGAAATGAAAGAAATTGTAAAAAAGAAAAAGGCAGACTCTAGACAAAGAAAATGGTTAAAATGTTCATGAGGAGTGTTCTGCAGCCAATGCCTCTATAGTTAACCTGAGTACATAATAATTATGAGTGTGACAGGTAATTAAAACCCACCATTTGTCTAATCACATTTTCTGGGAGGAGGAAACAGCAGACCCAGGACCTAGGCACAATACTACAGCATACACAACAGCAAAGTGTGAACACCACATCCTAGGAAATGACAGGATCAAAACCTGAAATGTCAAATCTGTTGCCAAGTCAAGGGGTAGGATGAGGCCAAAATGGTAGCTTTCTCCTCACCCTCTGCTCTGAAAAGGGCAGGGGCTTGAGTCTCAATTTTATTCATCAGTCAGGGGAAAGCTACCTGGTTGAATGGGGCACAGGAAGGCATAACCAGGCTCCTGGACTTGTCTGTGAGCCTCCTAATAATGCCCAAAGAGAAAGAATGGTGCTTCTCAATTTTCACCTCTCTTCCTCATCCACACTTCACTGCCTTAGTTCAGTCCTGACTGGTCTCCATGTTACTTCTGTATATTGCTCCAGTTCACCTTCTGTATGGCTATCAGAGTTCTCTTTCTTCATACACATTTTTTAAGGTTTAGGAAATGGCAAGAAAAAAAGGCCAGAGACAGGTACAGTGTTCAGATTATAGAGAGACATGTATGTCATGATACAGATTTTTTTCCTGGTTGTTAGTGACCTACTGAACAATTTTCAGGAGAGTGTTAAAATTTTATTTTAAAAGGATATGCAGGCAGCAAGCAGAGGCCAGCAGTAAGCCTGAAGCTGAGAGATCACAAATATATTACAGTACCTCTGCTGATAAAGAGCACAGCTCTAAACCATGACGCACAGAGAGAGTGGACAGAGTAGAGATACAAACAGTGTAAATGAAATCATACAAATGATAGAGGCTGGTGACCTCCAAAAACAGGAAAAGGAGATGAGCGTATCACTTACGTTTCTAACATGAAGAGATGGAATTATTTGCTGAGAAAGACATAAAGAAACAGCAGGTTTGGCAGTAATCAGAAACCTCCAAGTGGCATGGCCTGCTGTGAATAAACAGGTTGCAAGCTTGGTAGACAGGTCTAGACTAAATATACTGAAAACCGGAGGGGAAAGAGATAAAGTCACGAAGGTGCCTACCCAGAAAGAACATCCAGTAAGAAAAGCAATACAACCCTGCAGGAACTGAAGAGTGTCTTGAGATTTGGTAAGCCGCAAATCAAAATCTCAACAAATCAAAATCTGAAAGCAGAATATATTGCCCACTATTTACTATTACTTAGTAAGAGAGGAAAGGTCATCCTCAAGTAGAGATTCTCCACCAGGGGAGTAGGAAAACATACCCCTATCTCCAGAGAAGAAGTGTTACATGAAAACCATATTCAGTATACCTGATTTTCTAACCAACCAGAGAGAACAAAGGTCTAAAAATCAAAGTAGATGGATGGGGAACCTACTGAGGGGGAGAAAAAAAAGGACCACCATTTGCAAAACAACCTGATACTTTGAGATCCACAAGAGCCAGAAGCTGGAGGGGCCCTATCACAGCCAATACCTCATACTTATTAACCAAACAACTTTCTGATTAAAACTTGGTTTGTCTCCTGAAAGATCGTTCTAATCTGCCAAACTGAGCATTCTGGTCTACTTAATACCTGTTGCCTCTCACTGTAAATTAATAAGCATTCTGGTAACATACCAGGCTCTGAGAACATAATGAGTCCATCCCAGAAAGAGGTCAATTCTCAACAGATTCTCTTTCAGTATCTCTAAGGCAAAGGGCCAAACCTAGAGAACTTCTGCTAGCCAGTTAGAAGGCTCACTCTGGAATCACTGCAGCCTCACCTAAAGTCTTCTCATTAAAATACATCAAGCACTTTTACCAACAGATTAAAAATTAAGATGTGATCCCAAACAAGGAGAATTCATTAATAGTTTTATTTTGAATTATAATCTATTATCACTTCAAAAAGAGCCACTTCAGAAAACATCCAATGGATGTTGACTTACCAGTAAAATTGTAAGTCATCAATGTATGATTTATACTACAGAATACATAATAAATTATATTTACATGCAATGACTAGACTATCACACACAAGGTAAAAAAATACAGTATTTTATGTACACTTTTAAAGATTTACATGTTCATATACAATTTATAAAGTTAAAAATTCTCTGTACAAAATCTTACATGTACAGAGTTTATATAAGCCCCATTCTTATGGCTGTATCACCACACAGATTTGCTTAAAACTGTAATACTACAAACACTCAGGTTCTTTTTACTTCATATTCAATCTTGGCACCCATATAGCAATACATTATTTTGAAATGTAAATTACAAAAGAAATAAAATTTAATCATGCAGACATTTTTTTAAATATAAGAAAATCAGATAAAAGGTACTACCAGATCAACATTTATCAATTCCATAGATACTGAGTTTTCAATCTACTGCACTGTTTTCATACAAGTACATGCAAAACTAGCAGATTATGGATTTTTAAAGTAATGTTAAAATAATACTATAGTTTGACAATACTTGGGCAATTGGAATGCAACTAACAGCCCTAGCCTGATTATTTCTGCCTTAGCAGAAATCTCAAGACATTACATAATATTAAAAAATCACAGAAATAGCAATATTATAATTCCCAAATTTATAAGATCTGCATCACATCAAATACACACTGATCATTTAAAAAACAACGCAACAACAAAAATGTGTTTGAAATTTAAGAGCATATTCACTCTTCTGAGAAGGGGGAGGGGAAAATCCATGGAAAACCATTAAAGGATTATCCATCCAGTCCCTGCTAAGGAAGCACTTGCATACTTCCACTCTGCATAAATAAAGACATCTAAAGGCTTTATAAAATGTTTAGGATAAGCTACACTAGTTATCTTTAAAAATCTTGAAAAGTAACAAATTGAAGGTATCAGCACCTTTCCTCCTCCCCAAAGTAGCTAAAGATCAACGAGAAAAATAAAGTGCCAGTGTCTAAAGTACTGTTAATGGTTTAAGAGGCACTACCCCAATTGATGGCTTAGCATAAATATGAAAATAGGCCAGATCTGATCTGAGTAACAAAGAGAAGGTAGGTATTCCAGTATATGTAATTCCTGACTAGATGGGGGCTAAACCAGAAAACTACCTATTCCCCCATTTATTGCTTTGAAACCTGTCCATATAAACTGACACAGAACAATCAGGTTTCTAAGATGGAAAGCATAGTGTCTGTGCCACTTTGAAGCTGAAAAAGAAGGTGCACTCTTGATCACTGGGAGGAGAGCTGCTGAGACTCTCCTCTCCACAACTCATATCTTCACAAGAGTCCTCACTAAAGAGAAAAAGAGACAAAAACGAGGATACCATTACTTAAAACGTACTGAAATGTTTCATAGGCAAAATAAAGCTGCTATATATGAGTATCTCTAGTGAGGATTTTTATACTAAAAATTTATGCTTTACAGAGAAAAGTTGTAAGGACTTCCTAAATGAAGTCTATAGTAACCTCATTAGAAAATATAGATTTTTTTTGGCTGGGTGCGGTGGCTCATCCCTGTAATCCCAGCGCTTTGGGAGGCCACAGTGTGCAGATCGCTTAATCCCAGGAGTTTGAGACCAGCCTGGGCAACATGGCAAAATCCCACCTCTACAAAAATTATCCGGGCATGGTGGCGCATACCAAAAAGAAAAGAAAGAAAAAATATATAGATTTTTTAAAGAAGTTTAAACAACTTAGTATTTGCCAAACTATTATTCTTATACCAATTAATAACTCTATCAGCAACTAACTGTACAATTCTAAGTATTTTAAATCCAATAATGAAGACTAAAGACAACATATCTCCTAGCACATGGTCTATTTAGATGTCTTTCTTGCATCAGTGATTTCTTACATCACTGACACTCTCCAATATCAAAGTAAACTAACAAGCTATGAAAATAAAACTTCTAACCCTTTATTTCTACAGCATAAAACAAATTTAGTAAAATTATTCACTTTACAAACAAAATAATCAAATTCTGAATAAGATGACACCATTTGACAAACCCTTTGAGAGTATCTATAGAAGTCTTCCCCATTAGTGGTAGATTCCCTTTATTTTCCAGGCTCCTTCCCCTCAATCTCTTCCCCACAGCATGATATTAGGAATTCATGCTAACATTAAAAAACCCAGAATTCTTTTTCAGTTTTGGTTTGGGTTTTTTTTTTTTTTAAGCTGGATTTCAAGAGCAAGGGAGATAAGAGAAAGATGTTTAAAAAGGGTTTAAAAGGGAAAAGAGGCCGAGTACAGTGGCTCACACTTGTAATCTCAGCACTTTGGGAGGCTGAGGCAGGAGGATCACTTGAGCCTAGGATTGTGTAAGACCAGCCCTGGGCAACACTGGAAGACCCCATCTCTATTCAAAATAATATAAAAAAGAAAAAACTAAAAAAATTAAAAAGGGAGAGGACCTTATAAATCATTACACATTTTAACAAAACTCCTTCTGGTTAATTTGCTTACCTGAAGAGTGGAGGCTTTAATTCTTAGCTCTTAGTGTAGGGGCTTTCTCTGATGTCTTAAACTATTCCACAGTTCTGAGTATAAACTCACTAATATTTAGTCTAAGGAAGTTTAATTATTCAAGGAACCCGCCTACCTTTCACTTTCATCAAAACAACCCCCCTCAGGTATTGTTGGCAGCTCAGGAACACTATAGTAGCTGTTGTGGAGGTTCTGGGCTGTGCGCCTTGAAACAATCCAAACCAACTTCTTAAGATCAGGTTTGCAACATTCGGGAGAAGAATATTCGACTAGGCATTTAGAAACTAACTCCCTCCAGTAAAAGAACTCGGTGTCATTAATCTGAAAAAGAAAAAATGTATTTTAGTGAAGAAGTTACAGCAGTGTCTCCCAAACCTTGCTGCACCTTAGAATCTAGATGAGCTATGAAAATATGGGTGGGTGGGTGGATGGATGGATGCCTGGCTCCCGTGACTCTCCTCCACCCCCGGTATTCTGATTTAATTGACAAGGGGTGCAACATGGGCATCAACAGTTTTCTAGGTTCTCCAGGGATTATAATGTGCAGCCAAACTTTCAAAATTTGGGAACCACTGGTTTAGCAGAAGAGCAACCTAAATATAAAATTATATAGGATTCAATACACAGAAAGCTTTGCCTATTCTAAGAAAACACAGGGGCTGGGAGCGGTGGCTCACGCCTGTAATCCCAGTACTTTGGGAGGCCGAAGCGGGCGGATCACGAGGTCGAGAGATCAAGACCATCCTGGCAAACACAGTGAAACCCGTCTCTACTAAAATATAAAAAATTAGCTGGGCGTGGTGGCGCACATCTGTAGTACCAGCTACTCGGAAGGCTGAGGCAAGAGAATTGCTTGAACCTGGGAGGCAGAGGTTGCAGTGAGCCGAGGTTGCAGTGAGCCGAGATCGCACCACTGCACTCCAGCCTGGCGACAGAGCAAGACTCTGTCTCAAAAAAACAAAAAAACACAGACCTAAAAACACTCTATATTTGGTAATAAATCAAGTATAATCCTTAACAGTCACAATGCAAAGGAATTTAACATTCCTTTTGTTATAGAAACCAATTTAGATTTCTGTAACAAGGCATTGTTTGGATTGCTGGCAATACACACTTATAACACCAGATATAAAACTAAAGAAGTTAGCAATATGAGAAGAGAGGAATTTCCAAAAAATGACATAGTTCCTCCACCACTGGGAAGTGCTCCAGTTTATTTCTTTTTTGTTTTTCTTTTCATGTATTTTTCCTTCCTCCTTCAGAATGCCTTCAGTTTATTTCAATGAATCAATTTTCAATGAAGATGTTTCCAGCTATCACTATCAATAAAAAGTTCAGATAAAAACTAATAAAATCATGATTAAAACAAAATCAAAAAGTTATGTTACAAACAAAATGCTTCATATTGCATGTACTTTCACCAGAAAACAGAAGATATATATTTTTTCTTGGCCTCCCGTTTTTATCTAATCTAGCTACATCTTAACTTACTTGTAATCTGGTTTCTACTACTTCCTTCTCACTGCTCTACTGACATCCTCTGACACATCCAATGACCTTCAACTTTCATTATACTGGATCTCTTATAAAAAGTCAATGCTCTTGACCACCTCCTTCTTAAAAACCTCTTTCCAGTCTGACAGTGCTCTTACTTGTGGTGATGATGTACCTTTCTTAGCTTGGCTCCTAATGTTGGAGGAAAAGGCCAATGCTGAAAACCCCAGAGCTTCAACTGACCCCTACAAAAAGGATTCCACAAGCTTCTTATGGTTTCAACTATTGCTTCTTCATGAGAAAATTCCAAATCTCAATCTCCAACTATAGTTTTCTTATTCCAAAATGCCAAAGACATATTAGACACCTACCTACCCTCCCAAATTTCCTGCCAATGATACTAATATTGTCTCCACCGTTAGGTACAAATCTTCATCATTCATGACTCCTTGCCTCATTTCCATGCCTGGCTTCCAAAACCACTGTTTGAGTTAGATAGCCTTACTCCTGTTTGTGACTATCACCTAGATACTGTACCTGCAAGTCTACCCTAAAATGACTTCTAAATCTGTCTAGTCCACCAGTTTCTTGGCCATAAGCCTTTGCTGTCCAAACTTTCACTGTCAAAGGTTCTTTTGCTCCAAACAGGCTCCCAGTTACAGTGCTTCTCCTGGTCTGCCCTATTTCTTTGCTTAAAAAAACCTAAGTAGGCTAGGCACGGTGGCTCATGCCTGTAATCCCAGCAATTTGGGAGGCTGAGGCGAGTGGGATCACTTGAGGTCAGGAGGTCGAGGCCAGCCTGTCTAACATGGCAAAACCCCATCTCTACCAAAAATAAAAAAAAATTAGCCAGGTGCAGTGGTGTGCGCCTGTAGTCACAGCTACTCAGGAGGCTGACACAGGAGAATCACTTGAACCTGGGAGGCTGAGGTTGTAGTGAGCTAAGATCGTGCCACTGCACTCCAGCTTGGGTAACAAAGCAAGACTGTCTCAAAACAAAACAAAACAAAACAAAACAAACAAACACCAAAGTACTCTCTATATTCACTATTACCTGGCACCAAGGCACAATAACAAATGACAGAACACACCATTTCATGTTAAGTTCCTTATTTCCCCAACTAGACTGAGTTTGAGAAAAAGGACTGTGCTTTTGTTTTACACCTTTGTGACTGTAAGACTTACTGAGCTGGCCTAAAGGATTTGAAAAGACATTGGGGTTTAAAACAACACTGCTGGTGTTATCTGATGCTGCTGCTAATGAGATGACAGTTCAGCCCTACAGTTGTGATGAGATCCCATCCTATCCCATTAGTGTTTGTTCTGAGTCTACTTCCTAGTATGCATTTCAGAACAATGCATATGTGGCAATGTAACAGCTATGCTACCATCTGGCATGATTACTACAGAAGGGGCACCTGTATGCAAAAAGAAACTGGGCTAAGTGACCAAGTTCCCTTCTGGATTAATATTGTCTGGGTCAAAGCTGCATTTTGAAAACTTTTAACATTAGAGATACAGGAAAAAATGAGTGTAAAAGTTAAGAGTCCCGTAAATTATTATTTAATGTTTAAGTCACCATAGAAAAAAACGAAACATTAGGGAAGAAATTTGCTTTAAAAAATAAGGACTATAATTACCTTGGTATGTTTTTTAACTAGCAAGAGAATTTCCAGTAATTCAACAGATTTCAAGGTTTCTACTTCCAAATTGAGAAGGCACAAAGCTAATACAGATGGCTGTAAGAAAAAAATATATATATATTTTAAAAATTCAAAATAGAAACTGTGAGATAGACATGTAAGCAGGGAACTGACTTACTTTTGCTTTTGAAAAGACAAGTCTGCAGTTGCAAGCTTTCAGCTGAGCTTCTAGTTTATCAAGGCTCAGTATTTCTTTCCTATATAACACAAAGAACAAAGATTTATTAAACTTCCAAAGATTTAAATGATTTTAAATTATTTTAAAGATTTGCCATGGCTGGGCGGAGTGGCTCATGACTGTAATTCCAACACTTTGGGAGGCTCAGTCGTGCAGATCACCTGAGGTCAGGAGTTCAAGACCAGACTGACCAACATAGAGAAACCCTGTCTCTACTAAAAATACAAAATGAGCCGAGCGTGGTGGCACATGTTAATTCCAGCTATTTGGGAGGCTGAGGCAGTGGAATTGCTTGAACCCAGTAGGCAGAGGTTGCAGTGAGCCAAGATCGTGCCATTGCACTCCAGCCTGAGCAGTAAGAGTGAAACTCCATCTCAAAACAAACAAAAAAGATTTGCCACTAAAAGTCCAAGTTGAAAGTGTGAAGAAGGTAAAAATACAAATTTAATTGGCATTCCAATTATTTACTATTAGCTATAGCAATGCTAAAAAGTACAAAATTTATCTTTAATCCCACTGACCTTTCTGAAGTATGACAAAGTATAATAGTATGGTATAAGTGCAAAAAGTTTAAGGCAGTAGTAGCTTCCAATTCATAGTGCAATTTTTCTGAAATTATTTTTTCCATCCGTTTTATGTCAGAAGCAGTACATTTACATTGACTAATCCGGATCACATCATGAGTGGATGGAATATTGCAGTCTTCTTCAACTATTCTAGCGGCCAGCAAAAAAGAACAGACTCCAATACAAGATAAATGTTTAGGTTTCACCTGAGAAAGAACAAGAGGCTTCTTTTAACAATTGGCACTTTGACTTAGCAAAACAAACACTTAGAATATTGTAATGATGCTCCTATTCTTAAGACAGAACACAATCAAGCAGCTTCTCTTATATGTACTGGCCCTTTACTCACAATTATATACATTTTCACATTTTAGACCTTC